GTTTAGCAGCATTATAGAATAAATGAATTGGGAGATAGATTGAAGAAATTACAAGAATGTAGCCAAGACAAACAGGTGGAAAATCTGAAAGAGGTTAAGAGGCATAGGGGTGAAAGATCTCCTCAGGGTGTCAAGAGCAGAGCATGAGCGACACACTGTTTGGAGGGGGCTTATTATGGAGACCGTAACAAAATTGACAGAATTCTAGCTCTTACATTCAGGAAGCCCAACAGATGCCAAGGAAGATTAACTTTTTAAATCCATTCTTAGCACATTATAGCAAAACTTTAGAACATCAAAGACAAGAAATTTAAAAACAGCCAAGAGAGAACATAGGTTGCCCAAAAGAAGGCCAAGAAAGGAAAGAAAGATACACAGAAACTGTGTGAACAAATGGCAAGTATAAAATGAGGTGGAAGAAGTAAATATGGCAGCAATTACATTTAATGTAAATGATCATATATTCCAGTTGAAAGATAAAGATGATGAGAATGGTTAGAGAAACAAAACCGTGAATATGCTTCTTATACAACATCTAAAACTAGGTATATGAGAGGTTGAAAATAAAAGAATGAAAAAAACATTAGGCAAATACCAAGCCTAAAAATGCTACTGTAGTTATGTTAGTATCACACAAAATAGACTTTAAGGTAAAAAGCATTGCTGAAGTAAAGGGGGCCAGGTTCGTGCTGGTAAAAGGTTCTGTCATCAGGAAGGTAATTCTGAACTTACATACGCGTAATAATAGAGCCTCGAAATACATAACACAAAAATCTACAACTACAAAGAGACTGTATCTTCCAACTCACAAGCCCAGGAAAAAGAAAGAAAAGAAAAAAAAATATATGAAGAGACTTTAAGCAAATTCATTGTATTAGGAGATGTTAACACACTTCCCCAAGTAATCAAAAGAACAATAAGATTTTTTAAAAATAAGACTATTAAAAAGCATATTAAAAAAGACAATAGTAAATATATTGTTAAAGTATATAACGAAGTAAATATAACTGTTGACAGTTAATTGCATTATAAGCAATTTACTACATATAATATATTCAATAAGTAGACGTGATTATTAAAGAAAAAACAAACCAGAAGACAGATAAATAAGGAACGAAGCGAACTTTTACAATCCTACACTCTCAACCATGGTTAGCAGCTTGGTGTAATTCATGAATAATCAGAAGATCCTGTCGAAAGACATCAGTTTTCCCCACATCAGTCAAATTCATTGCTATGCTTGTAACAATCCCTATTCATTTACTTAAGGAACTTGACAAAGAAATTTTTTTAAATTTATTTATTTTTCCTGATTCCTGGGTACCTAATCACAAAGAGATTTCAAATCAAAGGGACAAAAGGCCAAAAATAGTCAAGATGCTCCTAAAATGAATAATAAATTACCCAAGAGATGGAAGTGTATGTAGGGGTGGCAAGTACTTATTCTAGTCGAGAATTACTATAAAACTAAATTAAGATATGATGATTTTGGCAAAGGGATAGAAAAAAATGGACCATCATAATAGGATAAAGAGGCCTAAAATATACCCACATATATGTAAAAAATTTATTTGTGACAGAGCTGGCTATACTGATGGAAACGACAGGCTTTTCAATAAACAGTGCTGGGACCATTGGTCATCCAGATAGCAAAAATTAAAGTTGGGCATCTGTCGCATACTGTGAAAAGATTTAAATGTAAAAGGCAAAACTATAATATTTTTAGCTTCTATTTAGAAGAATATATTTATGACCTAACGAATTCTTAAGCCAGTCACAAAAAACATAAACCTTTAGTAAAAAAACAACAGGACTATGTTAAACTAAAGAACTTTAACATAAAGAAGATGAAGAAAAGGGAAGCTGCATACGGGAAGAAGAAATTCGCCGCATAACTAAGCAACAAAGGCCTGGTGTGGAGGAGATTAAAGAAAAACACAAGCAGTCCAGTAGGAGACGAGCAGAGCACTTGAGCAGGCCTCCAGGGAGAGGAGAGACGTGTGGACCCAGGGCAAGAGTTCAGCCTCTCATCTGTCACAGAGCACAGAGCAAGGCTCTTTATTTCTTTCTTTTGCCTAAATGCCCTGGGTGAGAACCTGCAGTAGAGCGTTGAGTGGAAGTGGCGAGAGTGGACATCCTGGTCTGGTCCCTAAGCTAGAGCTGAGCATCCAGTCTCTTGCTGTTGCTTATGATGTCAGCTGTGGGCTGCCTTTTTTTTTTTTGGTAGAAATGAGGTCTTACTGTGTTGCCCAGGCTGTTCTCAACTCCTGGCCTCAAGCAATCCTCCTGCCTCAGCGTCCTGATGCTCTGGGATTACAGGCGTGAGCCACTGCGCCCAGCCAACTGTGGGCTTCTTGTCCTTCATCAGAGTGAGGAAGTTCCCTTTTATTTCTAGTTGAGAATTTTATCATTAATGGGCGTTGGATTTTGTCAGATGCGTCTACTGATTCATTTGATAAGGAGATCATGTGGTATTTCTTTTTTAGATTCTTGATATGTGCTGCATTACATTGATTTTTTTTTTTTTTTTTTTTAAAGAGAAGGTTCTGACTCTGTTGCCCAGGCTGCAGTGCAGTGGCACAATTATAGCTCACTGTAGCCTCAAATTCCTGGGCTCAAGTGATCTTCCTGCCTCAGCCTCCTGAGTAGCTGGGACTACAGATGTGTGCCACCACATCCAGCTAGTTTTTTCCATTTTTGTAGAGACAGGGTCTCACTATGTTGTCCAGGCTGGTCTTGAACTCCTGGCCTTAAGTGATCCTCTCACCTCAGACTCCTGAGTCTCTAGGATTACAGACATGAGCCACCACACCCAGCTCTTATTTTTTCCATGTTTTTGAATAGGGTAAAAGGAAAGTTTTGCAGGAGTGCATTTAGTACAATTAAAGCAAAATCAAGTTCAGAAACATACAAAACTACCTATATTGCTCAGGGGTGCAGTGGATGTGATAAAACCAAAGAATCGCAAAGAACTTTAGAGGCTCAGTTAGGAAAACAGGCGGCTCTGCAGTGGGAGCTGGGGCTAGGCTCCCGCGAAGCTGCAGCAGCCCTCTCCATGGTTGACAGTGTCAGATTCTCCTCCTGTGCTTTGCCACAGACCTCACAAATACTCTGTTGTATCTGCTTCCCAGTCGTGTATGCTTACATTAATTACTTTTTTAAAAATTGGGGGTCTTTGGGCTGCCCAGCCAGCGAAAAAGTGCTTGGGCAGCCTCCATCCTGTGGTGTGTCTGACCACCCCTCTCCTCAGGAATCTCCAGAATCTGCTGATTCTGACCGCCATCAAGGCGGACCGCACGCGTGTCATGGAGTACGTCAGCCTCCTGGACAACTACGACGCTCCAGACATCGCGAGCATCGCCGTCAGCAGTGCACTGTACGAGGAGGCCTTTGCCATCTTCTGCAAGTTCGATGTGAACACCTCCGCAGTCCAGGTGGGCTGCTGGGTGCAGCCGTGTTGGGCCCTAGCACCCTCTGTGCGCTGAGCACCCTCGAGCCCTTGCACGTCAGACCCCAGCTTGTCTAGTGCATCCCCAGCGCTCTTCTCTGATCCTTCCCAGCCCCGCGGGCTGTAGTCCTGACCTTTGCTGTGCTTCTCCCATCTGGCTGTGAGCCTGCCCTTTCCTGAAGGCTCCCCTGTGCTCTTCTGGCCCCAGGTCAGAGGCACTGACGCCTCCCCACAGCCCTCCCTCCCTCCCCCCTCCCCTTCCAGCTCCCCACCAACTCCTCCCTGCAACCACATCCCTTACTTGCCAGTCTGTGAGCCTTTCTAATTTTATTTCCCAATCAGTTGTAAACCATAGGACATATCACTTTAGCTGCTCTCTTACCAGTATTCTTTACTTCCTTCTCTCTTCCTTTGTCCTTTTCTGTACCTGCCTGTAAAACCTCTGGTCTAGGAGCCCTTCCTTTGCACCCACATGTGGGCCATGGCCTTGCACCGAGACAGTCCACCTCTTCATGGGGGCCTGCTGCTGCCACCTCCACTACTGCATGGCAATGGCCACCACTACAGCCCAGCAAGCCCGTTTCTGTCTCTCCAGCAATCTCATTCCCCACAGCAGCTCTTGTGAACCTTCCCACAGCCTCTGTGCCCTGTCACACTGTTGGGAGGCAGGTCCCAGGTCCCACCCTGGCCCAGAAAGCTCGTCTCTTTACACCTCTTTACTGGAGTGCCTCTTCTTTGGTACCCCTCCGGTATGACGGCTCTACCTGCCCCTCAATTCATTCATCTGAGAAATGCTTAGCACCCAGTTCTTTTATGCCAAATTGAAATGGTCATGCAACTTTTGGCAGAGTACGGAAACAAGCAGAAGTCTGTCTGCTCCTTGGAGCTGATTAGGTGTCACAGAGAATGCAAGTCCTCTCATAACCCCAGGTCCTGATCGAGCACATCGGAAACCTAGACCAAGCGTATGAGTTTGCCGAGAGATGCAACGAGCCTGCCGTGTGGAGCCAGCTGGCCCAAGCCCAGCTGCAGAGAGACTTGGTGAAGGAAGCCATTGACTCCTATGTCAGAGCAGACGACCCTTCCTCTTACCTGGAAGTCGTGCAGGCAGCCAGCAGGAGTAGTGAGTGAATCCCCCTTCCATGGGGCTCCACTGCTCACTTGTGCAAAACCTGGCCGGGGCAAGAGGTTGAAGAGACTCTTAGGAATCTCTGTGTATTATGCATCCAGAGAGAGCAGAGGGCACATCTAAGTGAAAGCTTTCCAAAAGAGTGTAAGATAAATACTATTCTAGATCTTCAATCGACTGTTGCCCTCTTTTATGTGAGTAAGTAGTTTAAGCACAGTATAAATTACTATTGTGATAATGTCAAGGTCAGTGTTTTAGACCCAAGCTTTCCTGGAGATCTTCTGCTATTTCTGTTGACTGTGGCACTGACCTCTCAGGGCTAGCATAAGCATTCTGTCTCCTGGTAAAGTCTTGACTTGTGGACATGGAGATTCCCTCCCTAGGGGTGGCCCACATGTGGTTCAGCCTCTTCCCCGTCTCCTGTCTGAGATAGGGCTCTGCTTAGTGGGTGTAGTCAAGACCTTCTAGACATTACCTGGAGTCTGAGTTCTCAGGCACAGCAGGGAGGTTAACATGTCTGGCTGAGGACAGAATGAGAGAATTGAGCCCCTGCTTAAAATGATCAGTTCTGAGTTAATCTCTCTCTGTCTTCTGTCTTTAGACAACTGGGAGGATCTGGTTAAATTCCTGCAGATGGCCAGGAAAAAGGACCATGAGTCCGATATCGAGACTGAACTTATTTTTGCCTTGGCTAAAACCAGCCATCTGTCTGAGCTAGAAGATTGTATCAATGGACCCAACAATGCCCACATCCAACAGGTAGGCTGTGCCCCCGGGACTGGGCACTGCCATAGTCTGATCAGGTCAGGGACACTGGAGTGACACAGATTCATGATGGTGAGAAACAAGCCACACTAGGAATTAGGTAGCAAGTTGCTGGTATTGGTGTAGAAATTAAGACCCATGGGATTTTGACTTGTGCTTGGCTGTACACGTCAGAATGATTCCCCTGGAAGAGGCATTGCAGGTGTTCTATTCACCATGAGAAAAGAAAATTAAGTGATGAACTCAGAATTAATAATGTAGATGTATAAAATATATATATAGAAAATTAATAGCTTTCCCAGATGTCAGCAATGATCGGATGACATAATGGGGGAGGAAACATTCCTTTTTAAATAGAAATAAAACCAAGCTGAACACTCTGGCTCAGGCCTGTGGTCCCAGCTACTCGGGAGGCTGAGGTAGGAGGTTCACTTGGGCCCAGGAGTTCGAGGTTACAGCAGTCAGCTGTGATCACGCCACTGTGCTCTAGCCTGGGTGACAGGGTGAGATCAGCTTCTCTTAAAAAAAAAAGAAAGAAAGAAAATCAAAATGTTTAAATAAACCTTAACCAAAAAAACATTAAATAAAAGATCTAAATAATTGTAAAGTCTGCCATATGGGTAAAATGTTGCCCCTAGAAAAATTGATAAAGATGAAGAGGTGATGGAATGTGTTCTAACTCTGTATTAATTATAAGCGCACTCTTCATGGAAGAGCACACAAGTTGAAATAAAAAACACTGATGTGGACTTCGAATTTTTTATTTCAAAATAAGTTCCAAGTAATTGTTGGAAATTAGGTTAAAGTTTAGAAAGGAGTTAAGTTTATATAATTATGTAACCAAAATAAAATTCCAGGTGAAAAAATTAAAGGTGTAAAAATTGAGGATTTTTCCTTAATAAAAAAAATTTTAGGCCAGGGCACAGTGGCTCACACCTGTAATACTAGCACTTTGGGAGGCCGAGACAGGAGGATCGCTTGAGGCCAGGAGTTTGAGACCAGCCTAGGTAACATAGTAAGACCTCACCTGTACAAAAAATTTTTTAAGAAATTAGCCAGGCACAGTGGCATACAACCTGTAGTCCCAGCTACTCAGGAGGCTAAGGTGGGAGCATCACTTGAGTTCAAGGTTGCAGTGAGCTGTGATGACACCACTACACTCCAGCCTGGGCAACAGAGCAAACCCTGTCTCAAAAAAAGAGAAAACCTGGCTGGTGATGGAAAAATCTTTCAAAGTTAGTTTAAGCAAAGTGAGGAACTTTATGCACAACAGTAAACATATATGCCTAGAAAAATGCCCGCGATGGGAACAGTAAAGAACTCAGGTGTGGAATGGAATTGGCAGTGTTATATTATTTTCTTTTTACTTGCCTGTGTTTGCAATGTTCTTTTTTAATCAGTGACCATATAGTTTCCAAAATTGCCTTAATAATCAGAAAATGAATTAAAATGTTAGAAAACAAAACCCTGCCCTAAACCCTTCTCTGAATTAGTAGCAGGATTCTCCTGAGTCGGCAGCACTGTGGGGCAGAGCAGAAGCACTGTCACCTGCTGGCCCAGTGGGCAGAGAGTGTTCATAGGGACCAGATCCAGCCTACTGCCTATTTGTAGATGTCATATTCCCTGTGTTCCCTTTAAATTAGCAGTAACAAAAGACTTACATGATTATCCTCTTCCATAAAACACCTCATTTATGCATTCATCAGCAAACTTTTCTCTTTTTCTTTTTCTTTTTTTTTTTTTTTTTTTTTTTTGAGACAGAGTGTCACTGTGTCGCCCAGGCTAGAGTGCAGTGGCATCATCACAGCTCACTGCAACCTCAAACTCCTGGGCTCAAGCAATCCTCCTGCCTCAGTGCCCCTCAAGTAGCTGGGACTACAGCGTACCACCATGCCTGGTGCATCACCAAACTTTAATTAAGCATCAACTGTGTGCCACAGTAGGGGCTGTGGACCAGCAGTGAGAATAGTAATCAGATTTCTGCCCACATTGGTCCTAAGACCCGTAAAGACATTGCAGTATGTTAAATGGTGAGTGTGAAGGAGAGAAGTGTGGCAGGGCGTGGGTGTGAGGGTGTGTGTTCCAGTTTCAGATGGGGCCCCCTAGTGGGTGCTGAGTCTGCACCCCTCTAAGGAGGAGCCCCTAGAACAGAGAGCAGGTTGGGCGCAGGGGGAGCGTTGAGTGTGTGCAGGAGCAGGTGGCAGGAGCGAAGCTGTCCAGCCTGTGAGGTGTGGGCAGCGGTGGGGACAGGCAGCTGTTGGCCTCCACAGGCCCAGACTTGTGGGCCTTCATCAGGACTGTGGCTTCTGCTCTGGGAAAACTGGAGGATTTTGAGCAGAGGAGGGACATGGTCTGACCAGGTGTCAGCAAAGCCCTCTGGCTCCTGTGCAGAACAGAGCGACAGGCAAGCATAGAGGAGCAAGCCCAGAGAGGCCAGTCTGATGCAAGGCAGCGACCGCAGATGGTGACGAGGCAGGCGGAAGTGTAGTCAGCTCCTGATGTGTCTCGGAGGCAGAGCTGACGGTGTGAGAAGGGGAGCAGCGAAAGCGAGTCGTGCTGGGGGCCTAGGGTCTCACTTACCGATGTGGGCACACTGGGTGAAGATGCCATGGGTCTGTCCACTGGATGTAGGAGTTAGGTTGGGAGAAGTCCAGACTAGATGTTCATGTACAGCCTCTGGGGTACAGACGACACCCATGGCCACCACCCGTGTGGGAGAGCATGGCAGGGGGTGTGGGGCTGGGGGAACGGGCCAAAGAGGAGATCGGGGGCCTCCAAAGCCAGGCAGCAGGGAGAGGTAGTGATGGAGAGTAGCCAGAGTGGTGGGAGGGAAGCTGGCGGGTGTCCAGGAAACTGTGTCGGCATCTGTCTGGAGGAGCGATGACCCTGGCAGACAGTTGGGCAGAGGCCTGATTGCAGCAAGTGCAGAGAGGACAGGAAGACTCGGGACAGCTATTGTAGACATACGACACCTCTGCTGAGAAATGTGCTCTTAAGGGAAGGGTGGGAACAGGCTGGCAGCCCTGGGTAGGTGAGGAAAGCATGAGTGGGACTGGTTTGGTTTGGTTTTAAGCTGGGGAAGTTAACAGTGGTTCCTTAAGCTTGTAGGGATGGGTCAGTGCAGAGGGCGATGCTGTTGCAGGGGGAAAGGGCAGAGGTCACATGTGCAAGTGGAGTCGGCCCCTGGCGTGGTGCTGTGGAAGGCTCTCCTGACGGTCTCGGTCTTCTCAGGAAAAGGGAAGACAGATACTCAGCTTGAGGACCTACTGGAGGTTTGAGGCAGGAAGAACGTATCAACTGACAAGAAGAGAGGCCACACATTAAGGAAGTAGGGTTGGTAGTACTGTGAGCCCCTCTAGGTCAGTGTCACAACTTCAGAGAGACCCCTCAGCACTTTGGGGTCCTGCTGTCTGTGTGGCTCTACAGCCACAGGTGTGGAGTAGGCAGAGAGCTGGCTCTAAGCAGAACTGAGAGCAAGCAGGAGAGTCGAGGGTGAGTGCCAGGAGCCATCCAGCTTGGCTGTGGGAACCAGCAGGGGACGAGCGCAAGCCAGGCGCAGACAGAGTGGTGGGGCGGGGGAAGCTGGTCGGTCGCTGGACTGATGGGGCCGAGGCACTCAGGACAGTGAGCTGGACGGGAGGGGGCACTGGGCAGACAGAGGGTGCTTGTGACAGAGGTCCCAGGGCTCACAGCTCTCTGCCAAGGTCTAGGGGGTGGCCATGGCAGTGACTGGCTATTGTCATGAGGGAGACAAGGTCCTTAGAGCTGAGGAAGTCAAAGAAATGGTCAGGAAATGAGGAAGATTTGTAAGTGGTGTCAGGAAGTAGGGCTGGTGGGTGATGCCTCATACAAGATTTGTTGTCCGCAGTTTTTAGTGGGGAGCAAAGGAACAGCCTGGAAGCAGCAGGGAGCACACCTCAGCCCAGGCCCAGAGGGGTGCAGGTGTTGGGGGGGACGCAGGGTCAAGCAGGACCAGGCGGATGGAGGAGGGCGTCAGGCTGGGAGGTACGCTTTGTCCTGTGGGCATTCTTCAGCAGCCTGGCAGCTGGTGTGATCAGAAGGAGACTGACTCTTTAGCGAACAGAAAAATATCTCCGCTATCTAGAAACTTAAAACGAACTCTGGAGAAATCTGCCCATGTAAGAGTGTCTCAGTAGAGCTACCCCATGGTCCATAGGTGGGAGACCGCTGCTATGACGAGGGCATGTACGAGGCTGCCAAGCTGCTGTATAGCAACGTCTCTAACTTTGCCCGCCTGACATCCACCTTGGTCCACCTCGGAGAGTATCAGGCAGCTGTAGACAGCAGCCTCAAGGCCAGCAGCACCTGCACGTGGAAGGAGATAAGCTGCAGGATGTCTCCCTGTTGTGTTCCACACTCTTCTTCCACACAGGTCGAGTCTGGGAGCTGGCCTTGTCCAGGCGGGGTCTGAGTCCTCCGGGATGGCTCAGGGAACCTTACAGGCTGGTATTTGTGCTTGGAAGCAAAGACCCAGGAGGACCCCCTGTCGGACCAAGCAGCTCTCAGCAGTTGTCTTGATAGCATGGAATTATCAGTATTGTAAGTATTATCATAACACTTTTAAAAATCATGTCAGCTTATTGGCATTATCACTGTAAATTGACGTTTTGGGTCTTTTGTGGCAAATTGGTAGGGCAGATTGTCTTGAGGCTCTCTGATAATTTCAGAATCATTTTTAAGTGGAAGAAACTTTGCAAAGAGATGTTCAAAAGATCTAGTTTTAACAAATCTCTGAAGCATTGTTTAATAAAAGATCAAAATCGAGAGGATCGCCTGAGCCCAGACATTCAAGGCTGCAGTGAGCTATGATCATGCCCCTGCACTCCAGCCTGGGCGACAGAGCAAGATCCCGTCTCTAAAAACAAAAAACAACAAAAGAAAAAAGACCAGCCTAAATGTCCAACACCAAGGCCTTCATTAAATAGGACATACATTGCAACTCTACCCTGCTATTCAAAATGAATAGGTGGAGTCGTAAGAAAAGATTTTTCCGATATTATGTGAGAATATGTGAGGAATATACTGTCAAGCAGAACGTATAATGTAACTCCAGGGTGTATGTAAGAGATTTGGCAAGTCTAGTGTGTATATCACACATATTAATAGAACATAGCGGGCCAAAGGTTGTCTCAAGTTGACGGCGCTGGGTGATGTGATTATTTTCATTTATCCGCATTTTCTGCTTTCTCTACCATGAGAACATGTGCTGTATGTGGAGACGGGGACCCTGCACACAAACCCACCTCTGTTGTGGTGCGGCCCTCGTAGAAAGTGCAGCTCGAGGGCTTCTCTGCTCGGGAGGGTTCTTTGCTTCTCAACATTTGTTACCAGTGTGTACACACACAGTGCAGTGCGTAAAGCAGCAGTGTAAAAACGATGAGAGCAAGCTTCACCCCCACGTAAGTGGCACTCAGATGAAATGTGCTTGGATGACAATATTCTTGAGCTTTGTTAAACCCCAGACCCAAAATTC